AGAAAATATGAGCTATATTTGACAGTCTGATTAAAGAAGTGGACAGATTCTTCGGTGACGGCTCCAGCTCATATGGATTCTTATGTGTTTACATTTTCGTGTTCAGTTTGTTGTTGAACATATCCTTATTTAATTCTACCATGTTTTACTGACTACTGTGTCACTGCTATGTGCAGGTTCGCATTGAAGATGACATCACAGTGACAGCAGATGGTGTGGAGCTGCTAACCTGCGTCCCTCGTACAGTGGAGGAGATTGAAGCGTTCATGGCTGATTCAGCAAAAGCCTTTAGCCCTGTTGTCAGCAGTGAGAAACACTGAATGATAGCTCTCTGTAAAGTCTGAGTTGTACACTTCTGTGTCACTTATCATGGAAAAACATCAAAGAATATTTTTCAGTAAAAGAAATTATTACTCTTTCTCATATATCACTTGCATAACAGATGTATACAGGATTGTTATTAAGCAGTACAATTAACGGGACAATAGGAAGCAAAGCAGTTCTTACAGTAAATTTATAAATCTTTTATAATGACTTGAAACCTCTGAGCCACAGTCACTGTGACAATCTCTACTAAGCTCGTGTTCAGACTGAATTTCAAATGTGTGAAAAAAGCAGCCCTCTCCATTTATTTCTTTGGGGGACTGCGTTCACTGCAGCCGGCACAAGCACTGCAGGGAGCTCCAGCAAAATAACCCAGCGCTGTGCTAGGAAAAAATTGGACCTGGTTTAATTTTGGCTGCACCAGATGGTGACATCATCCAGAAAAACACTGCATTGGCCAGTCATGTACGGGAAATTGTCAGAACGTAGATGCACATGAGAATAAGACTCTTTTGTTTACCTTGCTAGCATGACCATTCACATTTACTGTCAAATTTAGTTCACAGTTAATGCACCGTAATGACACAGCATTTGTTAGTTAGGGTACTGGATGTTAAACATTTTTTTTTTTTTTTTTTTTTTTTTTTTTTTTTTTTCTTTTCAGACGCTGATGGTAGAAATTGGTGCTATCTTAGAGTAAGCTACATTAGCAGCATAGCTAATCAAAATACAACATAAAATTGCAGACTGGAAAGATGAATGAAGCCACTCATGTCGACTCCTCACAACATATTCATATCGTACACGCCACATCACTCCCCCCTGCAACCCCTCACGCCTGACCTTTGCTTAAAAACACAGCAGCAAGTTGTTTTCTTTTGCTCGGTCTGAACACCCGCTGATACATTAAAAGTGTTGATTTCTGTGCCTCCTGGTAACATTTTTTTTTTTTTTTTTTTTTTTTTTTTTTTTATAATTCTTACTCATGAGTTACTCTTTATAAGCATTAATAAGAAAGCTGATGAAAATAAATGAACAGTTTAATTTGCAACCACATGTAGCAGGTTTGTTTATTTTGTTGACATTATGTATGACAGTTTTTTTCATACCATATTGGTATGTGTGTGAATGTTAGTGTTGTTGTTCAGACCAAAGTACATTCATCTCTAGAAGAAGGAGCACATCTCCACCCTTGAGCAATGTGATGGCTATTGCCCCATAGTGTACAAAATGGTGGTACATTGAGGCACTGGTAAATTGCCCCCAGTGAACCAGACTTGTGGAGGTCCACAATTTTTTTTTCCTAGGTCTTGGCTGATTTCTTTTGATTTTCACATGATGTAAAACAAAGAGGTACTGAGTTTGAAGTACAGACCTTAAAATACATCCACAGCTGCACCTCCTATTGACTCAAACTATGCCAATGAGCCTATCAGAAGCTTCTAAAGCCATGACATTATTTTCTGGAATTTTCCAAGCTGTTTAAAGGCACAGTCAACTGAGTGTATGTAAACTTCTGACCCACTGGAATTGTGATGCAGTGAATTATGAGTGGAAAAAATCTATTTGTAAACAACTGTTAGAAAAATTTCTTGTCATGCATAAAGTACATGTCCTAACCAACTTGCCAAAATGAGAGTTTAACATGCCATATGTGGCGTGGTTTAAAAAAATCAGTTGTACCTAGTGATCCTATGTAAACATCTGAATTCAACTGTGATGTACTAATATTTTCTGAAGTACCATCTCGCTTCAAACTCCAATCTGCTGAACAAATCCCAAGGATTACTTTCAGATACAACCGAAACATAATTAGTGCCGATGCTCAGCAGCTAGACAATCCTCCTAAATCTGAACATGTAATTTGCCCTTAAAACTTAACCCTTAACCATTTTCATTGCAGACAGTAAGTCCTCCATAAAGGGAAGCAGAAATGTGGAAATCAAGATCCTTGCCCCAAAAGAGAGAGAGATAGGAAAAACTTCACTGTTGAAATACCAGTTACACAGAACTGTGTAACTGTGTTGGTTGGTGTAAGTAATCTTCCATTGAATCAGACAGGTTAAGGATGTATGAATCTATTATGTACTGCCACACTAGTGCAGTTTGGTTTCTTTTGTGAACCAGCTGCTCCATTGTAAGATGAACCTCACTTATTTACATGGCAGCTGCTATATACTAATTTATTCAGTTGTATTTTCACACGTTGATTTGAACTCTTTTGCCAGTGAGTGAGGTTCACTGAATGCAGTAGGATTTCCAGAAATTGTTGAATGATGGAAGGGATAATGGGGGAAAATGCACAGTGTAAACTCAAGCATTATACTAATGTTGATAATGTATAGTAGATTACAACAATCTAAATTCTGATTCAAAGTCTCCTGCTACCACTCCAGCCTGAGCCACTCTATCTTCTATTTGCTCTATTTGCCAAAAAAGAAAAAGAAAAGAAACAACAGTGCAAAGGGCTGATGATCCCACTGACTGGTTCTGATAGCAGTCGGAAGCCTGGGTTTTGTATTTGGGGTTTTCACAACCTTTGACCTTTTTAAGTGTCAAAACCTTGAAGTTACAGTGAAAGACAATAAAAGTGAAAGTTATCTTATATTTTGGGGGTCAGATAATGTACTAGGACCTTCTACAGTACAGCTCAAGCTGTTTTATTGCATTTACATCTGCTCAACTACAAAAGGACTTCAAAGAGAATATTTCTTTTTTTAGCAGAACCAGGCCATGAATGTTTCATTAATTTTCTATTTTTCAAACATTCATAAATGGAAGCTATTGTTGCACACACACACTTCTATCTGTTCTGCCCTATTTAACATGCAAACAGGTTCCCTTTAGATTACTGAATGCGCCAGTTTTTGGATACATCAAATGTGAACACTTTTTTTTCTTTTCATCCTTTGAAAATATCAAGCTGAGATTTATCCTGTATGATCACTGTTGGCCTAATTAGCTTTAAATCCATGGTTTTGGGTCCATGATGAGATTTCAGGAAAAATATGCAATTGGTTACATAAAAATTATGTATAGCTGCTCATCCCATTAGTGTTCACTTTGGTTGGTTGGTTGAAGCAATCTTTATTTACTTTTTAAACAGGTTGAACATACTGTATTTTTGAAGTTAACTTAGTCATTATGTCATTGTATAGTTGAGCATGATAAACTAATTAATGTATTAAAATTATTTAAATAGTGGTCACTTTAATATCTAATAATTTCAGTGAGAACAGTTATTCCAGAGGTGATGTATAGAGCCACAGTGGCATTTCCCAGAAGGGTTAGCATACTGGGGGCGGCTGTGACTCAGGAGGTAGAGTGGGTTGTCCTAACCGGAGGATTAGTGGTTCGATTACTAACTTGTCCAGTCAACATGTTGAAGTGTATTTGAGCAAGACACTGAACCCCCGGTTGCTCCTGGTGATGACACCGGTTTGTGAATGTGTGAGCGTCTGGGAGTGTGAATGGGTGAATGGCCAAGTAGTGTGAAAGTGGTTTGAGTGTGCTGTAAAGCATAGAAAAGCACTATACAAGTATAAGACCATTTATTATTCCTGCTGGTTCCTCCACAAATAAAGCTGTATTCGATGATTGTAATCACAGTAATTACTGTATTGACATGTGAATGCATTTGTGATGTCATTTCCGTCATGATTCACCAGCACTTCCTGTTTTAGCTTTTTATTTTAGTATATTTCTACCCTGGTCACTTGGGCTCAGTTCCAGCTTCACCATTTTGATTTCCAGCCCAGTTCACACACCTGTTGTTACTTAGGTATCTGTCAATTCAGATCAATTCAGTTTATTTGTATAGCATCAAACCACAACAAAAGTCACCTCAGGACACTTTACAAAGTAAGGTGCTTAGTTTACTATTATTAATTATTATTATCCATCCATCCATCCATTTTCTTCCGGGGCCGGGTCGAGGGGGCAGCAGTCTAAGCAAAGATGCCCAGACC